GTCCACTGTACCTGCTGTCACACACAGTCTGGGGTCAAGACCTCAGCCGCTGAACTAATGAGACACGCTCGGTTACCTCTGGAAACACGGCTGGGAGGAAAAACTGCAATAGAAAGAATTTTAAACATCTAAGGAGTCTGAAGGACAGGAAAGAAAACGGGGGAGGGATGGTCAGTCAGTAGCCCAGGCAGAGGGCCGTTGGCCAGGGGAAGCAGAGGGAGCTGAAGTTGGCTGATGGCTCCTTTGTGGAAGGCCATGCTGTCGAAAAGCAGCCCTCTGTACAGGGACTCTCTGTTCTCCTTCTCTCTGTGGGAATGGAAAGCTCAGGAGAGAGAACTGCTGCTGCTGAAGAAACTCACCGACAGGGAGAGGAGAGCACTGCTCACACAACTTGAAAAGTAAGACCAACACAAAAACAAGCAGTGATGTAGCACTTTTTAAAACATTACAGAGCACAAAAACTAAAAGTCTTGTGGAGCTGTTTCCCCTGCTTCCAGTCTTCTTGCTAAGCTAGGCTAACCACGTCCTGAGTCCAGCTCCATACTTCCATACTCCATCCTCTGCCCTGATAGGACTACTATTAAAGGTTGAAGAAAAGTTGTCTTTCTCTTGGCTCAAATGTTTAGTGTACTGTTTAGCTGTAAAAAAGAAAGTTTGTGACCCAGTCGCCATGTTGGATCGAGCTGAGCCCAAACAGAGCACCACCCACCGGCTGGACCAGCTTTCTCATCTTACAGCTAAACAGTACAGTTAAATATCTGTCTGAATTCAAGGCAAGAAATAGGCAATGCAGTAACAGAATCTGGATTCATTTTTTGATCAATGCTGCCTAGTTTAACAGTTTTAGTGCAGTTCACAAGCAGAGACTGACATGATTGAAAGACTCCTTTTTTTGTTGTTGTTTTCACAGATTATATATCTCATGTGCTTTTGTGTGGACGTAGTGACAGTTTCAGCAAATATGAGAAAATGTTTAGTTATGTAAAAGTTACCAACTGTATCTTTGAAATCTTTGTGAGAGATGAAAATACAAAAAAGATACAAACATTACTCAGAGTAAAGATTTAGGAAAAGAACAATTTAGTACAGTAACTAAGAAAAATGGACTGAAAAAAAAGTACAGACTGCCCATCAGGTTAGTTACATTGTATCACCAGTGAAAAAATAAAGTCCCCACAGGAAGTAAAAGATGAGTGTATAAGAGTAAAAGTAAAGCAAGTAAAATACAGTACATAGCAGTTAATCCAGCAGTTGTTCAACATTTACCTAGAATGTTGTATTAGCAGCACGTTAGCCTCAAACAGCTGATTTAATGGCTCGTAAAAACAAATCAACAATCACAAAACAGCTGTTATAAAACCTACAGAGCATTGTACAACAAGGCCTTTGCAGAGTAGATAAAAGATGCTACTTCATATTTGGTCAGTCACAGATCTGACAAAATAGTGGACGTAACAATGCCATTATCTTCTCTACATTTCGGGCAAAGCTATGCTAGCTGTTTCCCCCATGTATAATGATAACTAGATACCAGATGCCAAGATGGCACCTTTTCAGTTGAATGGAATTGTTCCCCTGGCATGAATGGCAGAATGTAGTTTCTAGCTTTCATGTTTATTTCCACGCAATGTGCATGAATATGTGCAGTGGTGTTTTCCCCGCTGGCCCGGTCTGCAAGTTCCTGGTCAACTTACACTGACTACATTGTGATGAAATCACAGATTTTAAAATTATTTTTCTTGGCTCAGGGAAAGTTTTACAAATATAAAACCTCCATGTATTCACAATTCATAATAGGAAGAGTCATAATTGACATTTTTTGCATTGTGGTCTATTAGCAGTGGTCTATTAGCAGTGGACTTTTTTTTTTGCTAAAATACTGTGAGTGGCAAAAAAATTGGAAGCAAGACTGAGCTGCATTCCTGGGGGCCTGCAGCTGACCAGTAGCAAACAATCTCATATTTCCGTCAAACAGTAAGTTAAAATATGTTTATAAAATCATTTAAGTCAAAAAAAGGCAAAGTGGTATCTTGATTCATATTTAATCAACACGGCTAATTTTACCATTAGGTTTCAGTTTTTTCAGCCTCTATTCTTAACAATACAGGGAACATTGTGGTGCACACTTCCTGTTCAAACTCTCATATTACAGCGAAAGAGGGCACTAAAATATGTTTCTGATCAGCACTGTCTAGTTTTATTGTTTGATTTGAGTTTGAGAGAGAAAGGGAGAGAGAGAGGCAGCTCTCTGTCTCTCGATCCACTTGTAGACCTACTCCTTGTGTTGGTGGTGGCGGTGGGCATCTAAACATGAGCAACAGCTCTTAAGCCAGCTAAAATCCGCTGTGAGCAGGGAGATCTGGGCACTGGTAACATGCAGGGAAGTTAAACACAGTTAATTAACACATACTACCAACATTGTTATGATATAAAGCTGGTTGAAAATTGGCAAAATATACCTTGAACAAATCTTCTGCCCTCACTGTGTTGATGCACGGCTGTGCAGCAAACTTAATAGATTACCAGTAAATGTTGAAGACAAGTTGGCCTTCATAGTTTTTCCGTGAAACAACTGTGAAAACCAAATCGGACATCAAAATAAATAAAAGTGTTTTGAGAGATGAAATTGGAAAAAATAGCTAGCATTGGTTAAATTTAAGGTGTTGAAAATTTGTACAGAACAGTAACTAAGGACACCTATAGACTGGCTGTCAGGTTGGTTACATTGTTCCTCATGACGGAAAGAGACACAAACTATCACTAGTAAAAAAGCAAGTCCCCAGAGGAAGTAAAAGACATTTGCATAAGACTAATAGTATAATGCATGTATACTTGCTAACTTGGCTCGCAGTAAACTCACTCCAGAGCTCACTCCATAGCTATTTTTTAAATTCATACTTTGCAACATTTTAACTCACAACTGTTTGGAAAGAAAATACCAGAAATAACAAAGAGACAGAAAACATTCTGTTGTTGTTGTGAATGTGATGTGACCACAGATGGAAAAGTAGGCCACTGTAGATTGAATCTGATGCTGGAATCTTCTTGTAAATGTGGGTTTGTGCGTGTGTGTGTTTATTGCGTGTGTGTGTATCAGCCTGTCATTGATTTAGATGAATGACCTTCACCTCAGCATCTGTGTACCAGCACGTCACTGTTAATTAAATCAGCTGTAGGGGACACATTGCATACGCATTATGTATGAGTGTGTTGTCTGGTTGTCCCTTCACCTTGATCTGAGAGGCTGCCCTCAGGTCATGTTATATCATGTCAGTGAGTCTGCATTTTTACCCTGTGCGATATGATGCAGTGTCATGTACTTTTACCCTGTGCGATATGATGCAGTGTCATGTACTTTTACCCTGTGCGATATGATGCAGTGTCATGTATGCGTAAGTCACTAAGAGGCTTCCCTAAAGCAACGCAATACATTCAGCAAAGCCTCTGTGGGAACGTGCAGATCAGCAGGCAGGTGGCTCACACACCTGGTACATCATTACTCATTAATGCTCTTTATCCGTGAAGTCACAAGGCAGCTAATGTAGCTGTTCTCACATTCTCTCAATGCAGCAAAGGTTCATGTATTTCAGTTTTATAGATTTTCTTTATTATTTTTAACTCATTTTACACCTGGATTTTATGTTTCCACAAGTGGTGATCAAGTATGTAGCAAAACCTGATCTGATGGCCCAGTGTAGAAGCAAGTGAAGCAATATTTTCATGAACGATTGGTTCTATCAGCACCAGCTGTTCCTTTCATTATATATGCCAATACCTAAAGATCTAAAAGTTCATAGTTTGATCGATTAAATAATCCATTTATTGGACTTAAGAGAAACCCACATGTTTAATTATTTTTGACTAAATCACTTTAGTTGCTTTTAACATTTTACATTAGTAGAGCCATTAATAATAGAAATTACTAACATACAATGGAATAAAGTACACTTTGGGGCAAAATCTGTCTTGCATTAAATGATCAAACTATCACCAAGACCAAATATTAGTTATATTTTAAGTTTGGTTAAAATTAGATTCTGCAACAGAAAAGCAGAAAGGAAATCAGCAGCCATGTGTGAGGTCTGCAGTGCTGCTGAAATAGATGGGGTAGCTAATAATAGCTGTCATGAAAGAAAAAATAAACTTGCTCAATTGAGACAAATTCCTGAAGACCTCTCTTCGTTTATGTCTTGTAAATGAGTTAGATGGCCCAGGCTACTTGTTTAGTTTTTGGTTCGCAAACCTCTATTTTGTTTACAGGCGGTTAACAGGCTTAACCGACAGTATACAACCAACTTCTTACGAAATACGCTTTGCGGAACGTAGTTTATTTGCTCCAAACCAGCAGATGGAAATGCAATTAATTTGCATTTCTTTTTTCAACATTTCTAAAGTTTGCTTAAAACTGGCTTGACAATTGAGTGGAGAGAGAGCTTAGCTTCCTTTTAGGAGAACACCCTGATCAAACTCGTACAGTGATACTCATTTATACTCCTGATAGGAAGTTATTGTGTAGGTCTCTCTGGTTTGAACAACTCGACTGGAGCTTTTCTCAAAGGCAAGGGCAAGAGCTGGTCTTTCACTTTTTCCACCCAGATTTATCCTGCTGGTCATGAAGTAGAAACCTAAAGGCCCAGACACACCAAACTTGTGGCTATAAAGACGAAGAACTGTTTCTGCTAAAAAGCCTAATGGCTAAAACATAATATTACCTCATATAACAAGCTGATCCCAATAGCCAGGTATGAGGGCCGACTAGCCAACAGTGCAGGGCACACCACACTAATTAAGACAGATGCTCACCAGTGACCCGACGCTGACCAACAGCAAACCATTGGCTTGATGTGTCTTGGACCTTTGACCTAAAATTAACTGGTTTTACTAACTTTGATGTGCATGTATGGGTTGCACTAAATCAATATGGCCCTCTATGTTAAAATTGATTGACGTGATTGATAGCACATACTAATAATATACTATATATGTGTGTTTGTGTACAGACTTAGTAAGGAGCTGCAGCAGAAGGACAAGGTCATCGAGTCTCTCCGCGCCAAACTAAACCAGCACCACCACCATCATCACCCTCATCGCTCTGACACGCCCTGCAGCAGCCACGCCCTCTCTGACACCACAGACCAGTCGGATCGCATCTCCTATGTGTCTGACGAGCATGGATCCACGAACGATGATCTGGATCTTTGCTCTGACATGGACGCTGCCAGCGAGCTCGGTCAGAAGGAAACTCGGTCTTCTACCAGAGTCAGCACAGGTGAGAACATGACAGCCGTCATCCAGCTTCAGGTGGATTTATACACTGCTGCATGAAACATGCGCCACCCGAATGGTATATATACAATTGGAGAGGGAAGTAATCAATACAATAATTGATACAAATATTAAAAATTGTCCAAAAAAGGATACAGATACCTCAAACATGTCCTAACACTTGCTCACTGTAGAGTAGTATTTATCAAAGAGTAGGAAAGGGTGCATTTGTTGGGGACTATTTTCAGTGGCGGAATAATCCACATTTGGTGCCCTAGAGAGTATTTGAGGCAGCTGAAGGGTGTATGTGGGATTGAGTTAAAATAAATTACAGTGTGTGTCTTCATGGTGATGAAGGAACATGTCACCCAGTGCAACAGCATGACTCATTGATGTTTTTTAATAGTTTTTGGACAACAATGGGGCTCTATGACATGGAGGAAGAAGATCTATTATAAAATAACAAATCTATAAAATATCAGCACACTTATCTTTGTAAGACTAGCCTTCGGCTCCTGTCACATGACCTAAATATGAGTGCAGAAAGGATTTGAAACACACAGACATGTACCCGTGTTTTGTTGTTTGGTGTCTGTTTCATTCATCATGTCCTCTGGTGACAGCAGACTCTTTTCATTTCCAGATTGCCACTCTCACAGTGGCACCATGTCACATCATTCGTCTGTCCCTCCCTCCATCACCTCATCCCACAGAGCCCAGTCCTGCCTCAGCTGTCCCAGCATGCATTGCCCCAGCTCGCCACACAAACCCGCAGACATGCAGAGTCAGACAGGTAGGAATGGGCTCAGGAATGTGACTCAGGCTGTAACAGACAAGCAGAACTTCCCTACATGTGATTTACTTTTCTGCTGCGTGATTTCACCTCATTACCTCTGAGATGCTGCTTTGTGCCGTCCTGTTTCTCTTTTTTATCTTTCTTTCATTCTGTTGCTTTGGATTCTTCTTCTCCTCTCAGCTCCAGCCTCAGTCTTCACCTCTACCCCCTTCCACCCTCCCCCCACCTGCTCCTCCACCCAGAGGATACCTATGCCCTTCCATCCCCACCCCACAACCCTGCGCACCCGTTACCAAGGCAACAGGGGAGTGGGGTTTTCCTTGGCTGAGGTGCATCAAGAGCTGCAGATGTTACAGAGGCAGCTGGGGGACAGTGAGAGTGCGTCAGTTGAACTGTATATGCATGAGTCTGTTAACTTTTTTTTTTTTTTTTTATTACTAAAAACTACTTGTGTGTTTGAACAGCTCAATAACACCGCACAGCATACCAGACTGAATATCAGTGGCATAAAAACAAGCCATGGCTGGCAAGGAAACTTTTGGGGGATCATATTAACTAAGGGTCATGACATGCATTTTTATTACTTTATTTGTAGATTTATCACATTCAGAATATGTCAGAAAATGGAGACAAAGAAAAGGAAACACAGAATGACAGAGATAAAAGAGGGATCTGTCAGGACAGAGGATCCTGTTTTGCTTATAGTAAGTTTGAGTTTTCAGATGATTTTTTTCTTAGTGCTTATTATTAAGAGAAGCAAACAGTCTAACAGTAATTATCAATTTAAAACCAAGGTAAAAAAATAATACTTACGAAATCCAATGGAATACCCTATGCCTAGTGTAAACAAGGGGCCATTTCTTGGTCTGAAAAGTAAAGCTAATGCAGGAGTTTCTTAATTCTGTATTCTTAATAGTGGCCAGCAGGGGAAGACTCCACTAGTTGCAAAACGAAGTCAAATTTTACACAAATCCGTGAAAAATGGCCCTACTTCTGATTTGTGACCTCAGGAAACATTTTTCCTATGTGTTTATGGTCTCAGTTGCTGGATCCAAGTCCTCCATGATGTTCATTTTGGAAATGATGGTCAATTTAGAGGGAAATAGACAATAAACAGGGTAAGCTTTAACACACAGCTACCTTATGATTAACAAGTCACTACCACAGGGGTGTCTTTGGGTTCTCACCCCTTCTCTTCCACAGCTCCACCCTCTCATTCAAATATGGTCACTTCAAGATGGTGACAACCACAACATGCTGAACTTGAAGCTTCAAAAGTTAATTTTGACAGCTATTTTAGATTTAGTGTTAGTTCAGACAAAACTGCTTATTAGTTTTAGGCACATTTTAGTCATTTTTTTTATCCATCATAGTTCTAGTCTGGGTTCACTCGACGAAAATCCAAAATATTTTAGTCAACTAAACTTCAAAACCTTTTAATCGAAGGAAATTCATGACATTTAAGTCAACTTTTAGTCATTATGTCTTCTCTATATTTTTTTCAATCTTTAAACTAATCCAGTAAGGCTAATTCATAAATCATAATTTATAATTGAGGTGACAGATTGTACAAACATTTTTTTTCTACAGCTACAAATAATATCTGTACACTTTCAAACAAGAAAAGCTCAACATGTCTTTATTTATGGTCCCAAAAACTTGGACATCACAAATAACCAATGTAGGATTTGTACCCAGGTTCACTGTAAACTCTGAGTTATCAATCTCACTGTTAAAAGGCAGAAAAATAACCATATTAAACCAGAACTCTTTCTCAATGGTTGGTGATTAAAATGTTCAGCCGTCAGAGAAAACTCAGTTGAGTTCAGACTGTTTACTTACAGCACAGCTACATTCACAGATAACTGAGCCTCCTACCTACCTGGCAAACAGCATCCCATAAACCTTCTCAAGTCTGGACTGAGTGGAGTCCCATGGGTATCAGCTGTGAAGTCCTGCAGCTGGTTGCTACTTGCTCTGCTGCCATTCAGTGGCAAGCAAGGGGGGCTGACTGCTAACAGCCACCGCTGCAACTAACAAACTTCACAAATCCAATCACTTCCACCATCTGCAGCCAGACATGCATGGCTGATTATTTACTGCTGAATTACAGCTCACCACTCCCACCAATGGCTGACACTGCTGTGGTGTGGGTGTTTTTGTTGGCTAGAGAAACATCCTGTTGCAGACTATTTACTAGAGTTTGCCATTCTAATTCTCATGCAGCATTAGAAGATAATTAGAAGCACAGCCGTTCTTGGCTTTCAGTGTCTGATAGTCCACCACTTACATTTTGTCACATCTGGTCTTGTCTACGAAAATGAAAGAGAGATTTCGTCTTAGTTGTTATTATCAAGATCTATTTTTAACTCATCATTGTCTTGTTTTTATCATGGAAAAAAGGTTGTTGACAAAAAAATTTCATCATAGTTTCTATCAACAAATTAAACAGTTAAGTTCACAAACAATTAGGTGACAACACAGTGGCTGCGTCCACTTCTTTTATAAAGTCTGTGAGTGCAAACCACAACGTCTGTGCCGTGGAGTTGGCATGACACCTACATTCATACTCAGCACGATGAGTCGTCAGGTTTGAGCTGTTAAGAGATGTTTGTTGACCTCACCATGAGGTGTCCTAGATACTTCAACCGCTTTCCCTCATGTTTGATTTTATCTGATTATTGCCAAAACCAAGCACATGTGGTTGAAGCACCTTGAGAGTGAGTTTGAGACAGTGCATTCTATGTGTGGTACTACCACAGGATGGTGCCAAAGTTTGAAGTTCTCAGATTTCTCCAACAATGGTTTCAATAAAAGGAAGTCAGATTGATGCCCTGTGCAAGGGAGGGAACATTTATAACATTTCATCTGAAACATTGTTTTCTGTATGTGAAGCAAGCAGCTTAACATGATGTTTGCATATCCAAAAAGGATTAACCATCCAGCTGGCACTGTATTATCTGCCTCACCATCAGTATGAGGATCACTGGTCTTAATGCTGCTGTGTGCAGATACATCTTCTTCTCTTCTCCTTTTCTTTTTGCCTTTATCTTTAACACACTGTACTTTCTCTCTCATTAAATAACTGTTCTCCGTTTGATGCTTACTGAACCCGGAGCACCCAGCTTGAGAAGGATTTGCTGTGATCTTTAAACACTAATGAGAGATGGAGCTTTGAGAAACCCCAAACCAGACCAATATCATTTGGCTGATTAAGTCATTCACTGCATCAAAAGCAATGTCTTCATCTCTGTTTTAGCCTTCTACTCTCTCCATCCTTCATGTCTCATTAATGCTTTTTTAAAGTGTTCTCTCAGACTTTGCAGTGCAGTGTCTTTTCCATTATTAATTGCTTTTTAATTGTATTTAGTCACTCGCTTACATGTTACTTTATGCTCTTCTTCAGGGTTTTCCACTCCCCAGTCCAAACCACTTCAGGGTTTCCCATTTACCCACCAGCAGCCCGACTCCTCTGCCTTCCTGCCTCTCTCCTACCATGGATACCAGCCTTCTCCTTTCAGCAGCGCTACCAGCAGCAGTCTGGATGCCAGCTCAGCAATGAAAGCTGGGGCCAGTCTGCTGGAGAGCAGTGCATTGTGGGATTTGAGCTATGGTACCGGACCGGTGAGACTTGGAGCTGACCTGTCTTCAGGATCCTCAGGGTACCAGTCAGGCACCAGCAACACAGGTAGATACTCAATCAAATCCTGAGTGTATATTTCACACATACTGTTGTCATACTATTACTGATTCAAATTGCGTCTACTGCTGCTGTCAGTGAAGCTTAGTGTATGTTTTACATTTAAAGCCTACCAGGAAAGAGAAAGATCATGGTCTTTGAACCAAAGGAAGTTGTGGCAAGGCCATGATACCATATATGGTACTTCAGGTCATAAAATAGTGGTCTTTAATAGCAGCTCATCAGTTGTATTCTCATTGTAGGTTCTGACCTGATGAAGGAGCACCTGAGGGAGATCAGGAGTCTGAGACAGAGACTGGAGGACTCCATCCAGACCAACGACCGCCTACGACAGCAACTGGAGGAGAGATTGGCTCGCACCGTCACTGAGAAAGGTAACACACACACACACATAATCAAGTATAACAGCTTTGTTTTACAAGTTTCTTAGTTCCATAAAAAGCTGTTGATTTGGTAGAACCCAGAAAAGCTTATGTGATTTGGTAGGAATATGGAACAACTCTACATTACGTTACAGTACATGCTTGTTGTCTCCCTGTCCTTTCCAGGTGCTCCCACCAACATCTACATCCAGGGTCTGGACTCTGTCAGCCAGCTCTCCAGTGAGATCAGACTTCTAAAAGAGGAGAACATCAGTCTGCAGAACCAGCTGAAGCAGGCCACAAGAAGTACAGTCTGATGTTCACTGCCAGGGCCAGATCCTGTAGAGAAAACATGTCCATGACATTTGATCATGTAGCAGATTTAGAGCTTTCCTGCTTACAATCACACAGAAGTTATGAAGAGTTTTGTTTCAGTTCAATGTGGATGTATTCCTTTAAATTGATACCATCAGATCACAAGACCAGACAGTTTCTGCAAAACTCCATCCTTAATCGTTCAACCTTTGTTTTTCATCAGATAATAAGATAAATCTTATCTGAAGTAAGGTTACTATGAATTCTTGGTTTTGGCTAGATTAGATTATGTTTAATGTAATTTGATGACTGAAAAAGACTATAATGTCAACAGTTACCACTGAATAAAACTGGACGAAATTTGTTACATTTTTCTTGATACTATGACAAGACTAAAATGCTCAGACTAAACTAAAAAAACAGGATGAGGAGATTACATAGTAAAAAGAAAAGCAAACAAATTTTGTCTGGTTCCGTGTCAAATAACTTGTACAGCTTTGTGCTGTCATGTAATGTAAAAGTGTAATATCCTGTGTCATCCTGCAGAGAGCAGCAAGGAGGCAGAGCAGTTGAAGAAAGCGGAGCTAGAGGCAGAGAGGTGGGCGGAGCAAAGCAGGAAGCTGCAAGCTGAGGCTGATACACACAGTGAAGAGATTGCACAACTGAAACAGGACAGACAGAAGAACCAGGAAGCCATCAACAGGTAGGTGTGTGTGTGTGTGTGTGTGTGTGTTTGTGGACCAGAGTTCATGACCTGGAGAGTGAGGACAGTGAGTGATTTACATTTTTCAGAGTTAAAGACCAACTTAACGCCCCCTGAAAATCTTGTTTTGGTGACCTCCAGGGGTCTGACCTTTCACCTTGCTGCAGTGATGCAGACGTGTAGTTTAGGTGGTGTCAGTACACTGTGACATCACTGCCGGGTACGGTTACAAGTGCAACAAAGGCCACTTCTGACCACACTTAAACACATCAGTAATGCTGAGTTCGTTCAGAGGTGAAACAGCGACCTTCTGCTCCTCAGCCTTGAGGCACTTGGGGACTACAGAATGTGTCAGGTCTATTAGGTGTAGAAGTGCTAGTGAGCTGATATGTGCTTTTTGTAAAAATGTCACATCTGTGTGTGTTTTCACAGACTCCAGCATGAGGTAAGCGTTCTCCAGCAGCAGCTCTGTGAAAGCCGCAGCATGGTCCACTCTCTTCAGTGTGAGCTGCAGGTGTACCACAGAGTGTGTGGAGTCAACACAAACACACGCACAGGTAAGAGTTTGCTGTATGAACTTGCAGAGACATCTTACGCCTCTGAAATTTGTTTTGTGTTCCAGTACCTTACTATTACTTTCATAACTTGTTTGTGTGTTTCCAAGCAGGTCAGGCCAGTCAAGATACCAAACTTGGACTCAGCACTGCGACCTTTGACCCCAGAGAGCTGCACATTCAGCTGGAGCAGCAGCTGAGCGGACAGGCTGACACACAGCCTCGATCCAGAAGACAGCTGTTCAACGGTCAGTATGTCTGACACACCCAAAAGCATCTTGAGATAAGATGGAGTAAAGAGATCATAACCCTTGAATTAAGAAAAATGAAAATCTTCCTTCACAGAAAACGTTCCCTCGCCACCTGTGAGAGACACTGGACTCGTCAGTCCTTCTTCTCCTCTACATCCTGCGCAGAAACATGTAGCAGAAACTGGAGCAGCTGATCAAGGTGAGGGCTTCACATTCAGGTACTTGGATAAACTGGGAGAACAGTTTAACCTGAAACAGTCATCTTTTCTTACAAAGCAACATATCCATCTCCTTAACCTACAGATACTTGACAAATGTTTTTGTGTTTAATTGGTTATTAGATTTTCCTGTTATGCCATTGTCAGTGGCATATAGAACTCATGTATCTCCCTCCTGTCCTTATTCCCAGCAGCCTCGGCCCTGCAAGGTCAAGCCCCAGATGGCTCATTTGCCAACAGTCATGGCCGCCATGCAGTGGGCCACATTAATGACTTCAAGGCTCTGCAGCAGCAAATTCTGGAGGGCAGCGCTCTCCTCAACAAGATGGATGCTACCCTTTATTCCCTGAGCACCCCACAGGAGTTCAGCCTTCATCAGGTGAGAAACCAAGGAAGAACAAACACCACAGACCAGGTGGTCCTGACAGACTGAGCACCTAACCGAGGTTTATAAGGTCATGTTTTGGATTATATTTTACAGTACCAGTCAAAAGTCTGGACTCCCCATTGACTTAAATGAGAGACTGTGTCCAAACGGTTGACTGGTACTGTGGGTGATATATAAGGAAAAGCAGCTTTTAGAGGCGGCAGTGTTACTAAAGGTCACAATGTATAGAATTATTAACACATGTAGCATCACTGAGATTTCCAAGATACTGAGAGGAGATGTGACTGGCTTAAAGTTGATAAGGCTAGAACAACAGGGTGAAATACACCATCATGAAATAAGAATCTTTATTGAAATATTGATGAATTGCAACTCTTAATTTATTTGATCTTAACCCACACTGTCATCAATATTTCAGTACAGAGAGTATCTATTTTGTCTCAATTTTACTATAAGTAGGTGAATACTTTTAGCTAAAGAAATTTTAACTTGAATTTTAAACTATTTTCTTATACCTTTTTGTGCTTTTATAGATTTAATGATTCATGGATTATCGGGGAAAAAAAGCAGAAGGATGAATCATTGCTTAAAGTTTTTATTAATATCTTGTGTTGCGTGTGTGTCTCAGCCTTCAGACTCAGGTTCTGTCAGGAAGCTGCTGTCTGACACTAAAACCCTGCGACAGATCCTGGAGGAGGCCGACTCTCTGCTCCGCATGTTCTGGAGAGCAGCTCTGCCAAGCCACCAGGAAACCAAACAGGTGAAAATCAACGCAGATCAGAGAGTCTGATTAGATGAAACCAAGAGCAGAGGAGTTTTGAGAGTCTTCTTTGATCCTACTTTGCTCATGCCAGTGAACTCAGAACAGCCTTTTGATGTATTTGTTTTATCATGTTACGTGAAGTAAAATGTAGTTCCAGGAGGTAACAGCTGAATCACTGACCTCAGTCTACACTAGTCAGTGTCAGATGTTTATAACCTGCCAAATGTTAGGCAGGCATCATGACTCAATATGGTAAAAAAAAACAAAAAAAAACCTAGAAGAATCAATGTGAGACAATTCTGAGTTGTTTTTTTATGATGCTATGTAGAGTTTATATGTAAATTTCCATTTAACATTTAGTTTTAAAATGCATGATTATAGGACTAAAATTGTGATTTTATTAGAAAAAAAAAATACTTATTTGCTTATGCAGCTGTTTTAATGTCAAATCTTTGGTTAGCAGTGATTGGTTTATGTAAATAAAGCCTTGTGTAACAGTGGCCACTGATCTCAAATTCATGTAAGTGGGTGTGTGGACAAACACGAAACATTTACACATTCCCTGTGTGTGTGTGTGTGTGTGTGTGTGTGTGTGTGTGTGTGTGTGTGTGTGTCTACAGGATGAGTCTCTGAGGGAGGAGGTCGCCTCTCTCCGTCTGAGACTCTCAGAACAAGAGCAGGCTCTAAAGGACGCCATGGAGAGAGTGAAGAGCTCCAACCGCACCAAAGATAGCATGGAGCACTTTATAGTCAACCAACGTGAGTCACTCATGCTCCTAGTCTTTCTAGTGGATTATATAAACCCCTATATTATGCTGTATTTTAAACCGTCATTTTGGAATAAATTATTAAGAAGTGATGATGATGATGATTTTTTGTCATCATCTTCAGTGTATCTGTTTCAGTGTCTTGCATTGTCTTCTTCCAGCCCTCTCCTCCTATTAACTCCCAGCGCAGCTGTTGATCTGTTCAGTCTTGCGTTTACTGCTCATCTAACAGCTTCTGTGTAACTAATCAATGAACACATGATAACTGGTGAACACTGTGTGTGTTTGTTTACAGTGTCCAGAACACGGGACGTGTTGAAGAAAGCAAAGACAAACTTACAGGTGAGTTCTCACATGAGCATTCTGCTTTTCAGCATCATACGACAAACCTTTTATTCTAGCAGGTGACAGTCACTGAGGAGTTGGATGAGATGATGGTGCACACTTGTCTCCGTAACACCCTCTCACCTTTTCCTGCTGTTTCTCTTTCCTCTGACTCCTGCTGAGTCTCCTCAGGAGAACGAGCTCAGGATTTCCTCCCTTCGCCGTGCCTCTTCCTTCCACATCTCCCCTTCTCCCTCTTCTTTCTCCCCCTCTTCCTCTTCCTCTTCCTCACAGCCCTGGCCTAGTAAAGGTATGGTCCATGACTTTGCTGTGCTCCGTTCAGTGTTCCAATAACTTGATGCAACTGCTTGCTTTTTGATGAAAACCCTGGCATTCAAAATATTAATTAAATATATAATATAATCAAGTCTTATTTCCATAAACCAGTAAGTGTCCGTTATCTACTGTACCACAGGCAGGCTGGGGCACTTATTAGAGCCACACAGTGGCCTTATACACAATATAAGTCACTTTGAACAACAACCCATATTAGCTGTTTTTGCTAATATGTCCTTGTGTTGCATCTTGTTTCACTGAGCGAGCTTACAATCTTACCTGCACAAAGCACTGCCTATCTTTGGCTAGTAAGCTACTGTACAGTTATCAGAACAAGTTCTCTCACATTTTGCCCTTACACACTTGTTGTCGAGACTTTTTTCCTTTCTTTTAACAATAAAAACATTAACGACACATTTGACAAGTATCTTTCCAGTGAGTTTTGTCTGCAGAGACGACTTTTGTGATTTCAGTTGGATTTTAAAGGCAACCTGTGAAGATTTTGACCTCTGATGGCGCTATTGAGCAATGTTTTATATGTGTGTCCCTGTTTTTTGCTCTAGTAACACTCACAAAAGGATTCACATGCTGCATGCAGCATGGCAACAATGTAACTTATTTAGTGCAAATGAAAGTTTGAAGTTGTGTTTTACTGACTTGAATTGTTTTAACTTAATTATACTTCTTCATCTACTCACTGTCCGTTTGTTTTATTCTACTCTGAAGCCATAACTCCTCTTTCTGAAGAAGTTAGGAGAGAAATGTTTTGATGTTCCCAAGTTATAAATCTTTCCCTTAAAGGAGCAGTGTTTAGAATTTAGTGCCATCTAGGGGCGAGGATTGCAGATTGCACAAAGCTGAAACTTCTCCTGTGTGCCAAGCGTGAAATCCTGGTTAGGATTCCTTAAGTTTTCAGTGTTAAGGAGGTTTTTACCAGGAGCTGCCAAGGTCTTTTCCTCTCCAAAATGGACCAGACCATTAACCAGTAAAAACATGGGCATGGTAAAAAAGAGGGCCGCTAGCCCAGCACCTGCTTTTCAGATAGTGGAGGTTTTTACCGGGAGCCGAATTATCTCCTCTCTAAAACAAACAGACCAAGTTATTTGAACCTGTAAAAACACTGAATAAAGCAGAGTTACGTTAATAAGTCAGTGTTATTCCAATGGTGCTCGTCGCAGAGGGGCAGCTAACTGTGACTGACCTGCAGGCATAGCCCTGTCTAGAGCCAGTATTTGGTTTATCCATTCTTGGCTATTGTAGAAACATGGCAGGGTCTTAGTCAGGTGCATTTCTTCCTTCTGCTCAGGTCCTTTGCTGTTTTTGGTTTTACAAATAAACCTATGTCATGCTGAAACCTTGTAATCAGCATTGTTTTAATTGGATGACAATCGCAGCTTTGTGAAGTGACCATTATTCATTTTAGGGAATTAAGGAAGTTTTTAAGGGTACCAATTACTAATCTTAAGGGAGAGTTTTATCAGATATTCTTCTGTGCAGACACTCAACAGGTTATGGATGAAACCAAAGTGCAAACCGTCTGAATGTCTCCTTCTTTGTGTTTCAGGTGAAAACACAGGAGGCTTCTGTGAACTCGCCTTCTCTCCTGGTTGGAGTGTCTTGAAGACTTCCTCCATCTCCTCCTCCTCCTCCTCTGCTGTCTTGGGCCCGGCTCAGCACCAGCGCCCCTTGCAATCAGCCTTCCTGTAGTGCACCAGCCCCGAGTTCCTCATCATAATCTCATTGTTCAAACAGAAAATGCTGGAAATTCTGGCTCTCTAATTGGTTGGAGAAACATTTCAGTTGAGTCACACCTGTCTGAGTGTTGATGTATGTTTGGGTTGTTAGATTATTTCTGCTGGTTCATGATGGTTTAAGAATGTGAATGATTGTTATTGTTTTATTATTGGCATAATGTGTGTAGGTTCTGAGGGCTTTTGTTGAAGCTATCAACTGAAATGTTTTTTTCTCAATTATATGAGACCAGTCTGTGTTTGGCTGAAGTTGGTTTGTGAGTTGTAGCTTGTCATTAAGCCACGTTTCTCATTTTCCCCAAATTCAACAAATATGAAAACAGAGCTAAAGCAATGTTTGGGCTCTCAGAGACAATTTGGTACAGGTTTGATGAGTCTCCATGAAAAGTTTTTAGTGTAGACCTGGTCTTATGTGATCTAAGCACATGAGAAAGAGTGAAATTTTCTTGTTTTTCCTAAATCCAAATATGATATCATGTCTGTGTTTGACAATCATAACAAGCACATAAGAGGAAATAATCTCCCTAAACATGTGAATGATATAGCTGCCAATCAGAGGCCGACTTCAGCCCCATACTTCAGCAGGGATTCAAGAAACAAAAATCCACGTGATGCCAGCAGGAAAGGGGTTTGGAAAAAGCCAAAACCAAACTGCAAAGTGCTTCCTCTCAGCCTCCGTCGAGGCTCATGTTTGTAGTTAGCGTGTAGAATAGTTGCATGTGGTTTGAGAAGCTCGTGGAAACAAAGCCATACTCTCTGACGGTACATTAGATATGTTTTTGTTTTGTCCTAATTGTACAAAAATTGTCATAAAAATGGCCAACTACTGATAACATATGGAAAATACTATAGAACTACAAATAGGTAGTTTTTTCAGATAGCTCACAGATAACACACCAGTTTAAGAATTTTTGCTCATTGTCCTCAAACTCCAGAGTATTACTGTTAAATATGGAGTCAGTTCTCTTGAGATGGTTAAAAAGAAGCTATGGGTCCAACCCAGTTTTTCCTGCTGAAACACTAACCTGCAGTGTTGGAAGGCCTTCTGATGAAGCTGCTGTGACGTGTAGCCTCTAGTAAACCAGTGTTCATAAAAACAAGCACATGATACAGACTGCACTCATCCAGCTGCTCAGCGGTTTGTGTGATGCCTTCACTAACCTATCTGATAAGATAAAAGAAAATAATTTTATAGTGCACGGTCCAAGAGAGATGACATTTCATTTTGTAAACAGAAAAATGGACCACACTTTTTTCTTTCCTTTTTTAAATATATATACTTTAGGTGTTTTTCTTTTTTTTTCCTTTTTCTTTTTTGCTAAATTTATGAATGTCTTTACGTTTTAATTTCCCTCAAGATGACAATCACATCTGTAGAGAAACATCTGTATGTAAGATATCTTCAAATCTTCTGCAGGATATGCGACGCTCACTGTGCAAATGAACTTTTTAGAAATTGGGTGTTTTACACTGGCTTATCCAAATTTTATTTCTTTATTTTAGTTTTTCTTGATTTGTCTGTGTAGTAGGTTAGCTATTTTTTTGTGCATGAACTGGGGCTTCACTGCCCTCTGATACTTTTACTGAAATATGCAATTTTTGGGTTACTGTGCAATAATAGCCTTCGTGGTTGCTTTTTGTTGATGTTTTAGGCCTGGATATTAAAGTGCCATGTCATTTGTTTGGCTCTGAAGCTGAATTGATTTAAACAAACTTACATTTGGATGAATATGTCCAGATTTGTGACAATCAGTTTGAAACTGTTATAATGGCCCACTCATTTTTGGCTTAACATGAGTCAATTTTATATTCAGTGTGGGGAAAAGGCAAAGTTACAGCATTAAAGAGCACTGTAATGATATATATAAAAAAAGCAATAACATCGACCAAAGTGAACAACGTGTATGTTGTCAAATCAGGTGTAAAACAATCAAGTTTAGAGATTTTTTTTGTGTCAGTCCCCACAGGTCAAAGGTCAAACTTACTGTAGTGTCTTTCTCAGTGTCTGTGTGGTTTTAGAAACCACATCTCATGTATGTACATATTAAAGGGAGTGTGTACATTGATGCAAGTAGTTTTGTTGCTGTTGGACAAAGACCAGCTGTATTTCTATGCATGTTCTCTTTATTTAAAATGTTTTGGGGTAAAAGAAAAGAACCTTTTTAATAAAAAAGGGTACAAAACAACATCTGTCTTGTTTTTTGTCTTTTTTTGGATTACACTTATTTTTGTTTGGTTATTTAGTAGTAGTTAAGGAAATCACAGTACCACAAACAAGACGCAGCACCAGCAACACTAAAGATCACAAAGTGATCAGAATTTTTTTATAATAATGGTGTGATTATGAAATAAATAAATGATGTCATTATTAGGGGAACAAGACAAGGCAAGACTACACAAATACATTTATAGCACAATTCATATACAGGGGTGGTTTCAAAGAAATTAAAAGCAATCATACCACAGTAAGAATATATATATAATATATGGGACTTTCACACAAAACTGTTAATCAGCAAAGATCAGGAAATACAATCTACAATCAAATTGTTCATTAAAACTAGTATGAATATTACTTGTTTCACTTGAAGATTACAGCACCCAGCATACAAACACAACACCACTTTATCCTCTTAAAACAATACTCACAATTTGGATTAATTTCTAGGAAAAACACTTGAATCTTTTGATCTAAGGACCCTTATGGGCTAAAGGAATATAACTATCTTACAGAGTAATTTAGTCATACATAATTTAAGATAGCCATCACCCGGGTTTTATACATCCCAAGAACTTTTATTTAAAAAAAAAAAAAAAATGAACTGCTTGGTAACCACACCAGGCGTCTAACTGAGCCAAGCCTTTATTTGTCAAAATATGTAGCCACAACGGGCTATTAAGAGGGACCAGGCGTTTAATTGATATCAGTTAACATGAACAACTCTCTCCTAAATCCAAAAACTAGAGTGCTAAAACTCAATTTAGTGATGTCAGAGTATAAAGTCTGGAGCAGCTCCACAGACAATGAATGGTGAAAGATATTAGGGTATATACCAGATCTGAGCATATGGTACATTTTCTGTTTCAGAACTGGAAACACTACAATAGAATAAAATTCATAAAAAATGGATATGAAAAATGAAACAAACATTCTGTGCATCCACAAAATCAGGCACCTGTTCATTGTCTGTGAAGCAGCTCCACATTTTATACTCTATGACATCACAAGTTTGAGACTGGCCTCTGGCTTTAAGACAGAGTAGCTCATGTTCACAAATATTGATTGAGCTTTCCTAGGCCATGGAAATAACATTGGAATTCTTAATTTAGGTGGTGTTCCCCTTTAAGGATGCTACTTATATCCTTTAATTTAAATTTTAAAAAGACAAAAACAAAACAGTCACTCTAAGATTAACATAGATGAAATTAATTCAGAAAATAGTTCATAACACAGCGCACAGTACACATATTCAAGGTTTTATTGTCTTTCAGTAGGTGGCAGCAGAGTCCAACTAAACTAACAAGACACACACACACACACACACACACACACACACACACACACACGCGCGAAGACAGAAACACGCAGGTGTTCAGTATAAAAGAGAACTGATCTAAAGAACTTTCAAATAAAGTGTCTGGTGTTTTCTGTTATTCATTTCTGACGTGATGACTTTGAAAATTTCACACAAGGAATCCATCACTCAAGCTCTATCAGCAGGAGAAGCTAACACCAGAGAAAGGAAGATAAGTATAGTTTCAAAATAAAATGTGTGATATAGACAATGCTTATAGAAAACATGCCTTCTATGTTTACTTGAAGAATTGCTGAAATTACAACATTTATCATAGCCAGAAACTGTAAACAGAAATTATGATTGGATTTTCAAAATTCTGACTGTCCCTAGACACGTGTGACAAACGCTTCCGTCAAAAATAAACCGTTTGCACAAACTTACCAGCATGAATGACGAGTGAAAAAACAAGGCTTTTTTTAACTCCAGGATTTTGTCTTTAACTTTTAACTTTTAAAGATCAGGGTATGGGTAAGGCTTAAAAATCTAATAACCAATTTATGGTAATTTATGACCGCCGGTCACTCAGGGAGGCCCAAGTATGAAATATTGGTAGCTTTGGGGAGGGTCAAAAGAAAAAAAAAAGACTAAACAAAGTCACACCCCAGCCACCTCCTCCTCTGATAAGTAAAGAACAGTCCCTACCTGATAAAAAAAGGTTGTATTGAGGGAATATTTTGTGGAAGACTGGTGTTCATGCTAACATAAATATATGGACTACCAGTGTATTTCTGTCTGTGTATTTTGGGAGCGATGAAAAATCGGAGTCAAACCCCTTTTAAGTGTACTTAACAAAGCAGATTCCGAATAACTGATGCTTTTATTTTGGTAAAATTCAACCAGATATAGTATTATCGATCTTGCTAGCTTGACACCGCAGTGACCGTGTCGGAGTCAGGAAACAAGCCGAGCCGTGCTGTGCCGCGGTGCAGTTCAACAGAGAGCTCAACCCGGTGTCCACACAGAGAGCTTAGCCTTTTATCTGATGATGGAAGAACATCTATAGAGGACATTCATTGTCCGATAAACCACCGAGAAGGATAAAACGCGCCGAATTCGGGTGGGAATCATCTGGAAACGACCATTAGACAGACCTGTCATGGGTGTCACGGTGTTTCTGTGCAGGTAAACGTTAGCAGGCAGACTGGCTAGCCGCTCGGCTAGTCACGCAGCAGGAAGCTAGCTTAGCATCAACCGCCACTCACTAACTGGTGAAGAAGTTGGGTTGAATGAACTGTTGCCAGAGACAGCAGCCCAGCATGGATAATTTTCACCCCGCATATGATCAACTGTCTTTGTGAACGACCGTTAACCGCCTTTTTTTTTCTTCGGGGAGAAACGAGTGGCTGCTGGTACTGCAAGATTGATTGACAGCTTGTCACAACGGATTTTCCAGATGTGCAGTCTGCACGAAAAGTGTAGCTAGGCTCTTAAGTTAGCTAGCCACAGGCTGGCTACCGACCAGGAATGGCCGGCTGGCTGGAGCAAACTCTTGAGTGGACTCTTAACTCAACAAACTGCATCAACAAGCGATGAATTTAATTTTGGCAGCGAGGTGTCACTGAAGTCGACACCAGCCGAGCTGACACGTTGCTAGCCAGCCGACTGACGTTACCGAGAGGATTCAGCCACACAACAACAAACCAGGCTGTCAACCGGGCCAACCCCCCAACACACAAGGCGTGTTTTAACAGTGAGGTGAAAGATGAAGAAGACAGAGAATAAAAACAAGAGGAAACTGTGTAACATGGAGCACCAGGAGAGCGGGGGAGCAGAGAAAGATGCGGTGAGTAGTGAAGTCTTTCACGCGCTGTGTCACTGTGTTACCAGCGCACGCACTAGGCATCAAACACAACACACAGTATGCTATATAAACTGTGCACTATATACATAACTTCATTGAGAAATACATGAATGAATGTTGGTTTGAGCTCAGTCAAAATGCCCTCCTTTGCAATTTGGCACAGCCTGCACATCTGCTCGGAGGACCATACAGTTTTTTTTTAATTCACATTTTGTTCCATTTATATGTGTGTGTTTTATTACACTAATGCATGGCAGTTGTCAGGGCAAAAAGAAAGCGTGGGCCTCTATCTGATATCGAACAATATCAGGATTGGTATCATCCAATTCACATACCATAATAAGAATTGCATATGATTTACACCTATTTGCACAGCAATAAATTATAGGAGTGTGTTAATTACATTACAGGTTGTTACAGTATATTGAAGTAATGCATACCTTAAAGGATTAATAATTAATTATTTGGTACTACTACTTTTATTGAGTAAAGCTGATAAGTGATTGCTAGGTGTCCTCCTCACCAAGAGTATATGTAAAGTTTACCTGATATCAGACATCACTCAGTAAGATGTGTTAGAGTGTCACAGGGGATTCTCCCTCCACCTTTCTCTGTGCCTGCAGCTCTGCTTGCTTTTACTTGAGGTATTAACACTGCAATGGGCAGACTTAAAATATCACAGTTGGCATCAGGAATCAGTCACTGTGTACATTGAGTGCTGTGGCCATGTGTATGAATGTATATGAAAGTGTGCATCTGTTGGGTTGCTAGGTGAAGCAAATGCAAAGCAGGGCACTGGGGGAAGGTTTAAAGTGCACTATGACAGCTAATCTCTGCTTTGACAGTGAGCAAAGATGATGCGTTTGTCATGACTTAGCACTTAGCGGAAGAAGGAGGGAGCCTTCATCTGGTATCAGTCTTCCCCCTGTGAAAATGTATTAAATTAGAATTGAAATAAAATAAGGATTAAATATTTTGAGAGGCACATCAGGTATAGCAGTATCAACACTTTTAGCATTGGCCCATCCACTCCCATCAGCAGTGTTTCTGCACTGCTTGTTTGTTGAATGTGTGGTTACTGTAGGCTGTGTGAATCTGGGATGGCTCATTAATAAGTTTCATATGATGATCATATGCAGATATACAGCTTATGCAGCCGTATGCACAATGGCTCCACTGATAAGTACAACATCTTCCTTGAAAATAAACTGGAACTGTTGGCAATTAAAATAGTTGGATATCTTGTAAAATTTCATCAGGACTTGGAGTGAGAAGTGGCAAGAAACAAGTTGTTAGTTTTTGTTGCTTCATCCAGGATTTTTTTTCTGGACCTGGTTCATTCACTCATTCGTTTTTATTATGGTATGAGTCTTGCTGCAAGTTGATTTTTATGCTGGACTGAAAGGACGGAATCAATGGCTGCTTGTGCAAAACACTTTTCAGGAATGTCAAACACCACAGCAGATGAGCAGCATTAAAAGGCCAACATTATATTTGACAGAAATTCTTAAATTTGATTAAAATATTAAGATATTATAAATCCTAGTTTGCAATAAACATGAACATTGAACAAGAGCTGCTTCCAAAGATGAAGTCATCATCGCTGTAGCTCATAATTTCACATTTCTGGATGAAGTCATGTTCCTCAGTCTCAGTACGTTTGATATGACTGACTCTGTCATGCGACATTACTTCACCACCCAACCATTTGGGATATTATGGGAATAATTAGGTAAATACTTGTACATTTAATAAGATTTGCCCTCAGCGGTCAGGTTTTCTAACATATCCCACTTATTTTGGTATC